ACATTCGATTGTACCATGCGCAAGGTACAATTGGATATTTTAGTTTATACTTAATAATGAAATGAGTATTAGTATTAAATAATGAATTTTGCACAATAAGTATTTTTGGTGACAGTACGCATTCCTAATTCAGAAGATGAGGAGGTTCCTTGCTTCTGGAAATATTTCGATGGGTCATATCTAGCGAGAGGGCAATTGGACGGCCCATTATTTGGCCAAATATCCGCTTGGCTCGAACAAATGCATTTGTTTATCCTCGGCCCGAGATCTTCCTCCTTTGGCTTTCCATTCTTACATGGTTGACTATTTTGGACTTTCTCATTTTCGATTTCACTAATGTCTTTGGATTTGTTTTTCTCTTTTCGCTTTTATTTTTCTCTTGTTTATTTACATATGGGTTTGGTTTGGCCCCCCCAAATGCTTTCACTTGTTTCTTTCATGTAATTTCGGGAGAGGTCTTGGTCTGGTCTCCCTCTTCCTTCTGTAATTCACTAATTCTTTCGGATTTTAATAAAACCCGGCAAACGTTCAAAAAAAAAAGTATTTTTAGTGACAATACAATGATAATATAGTTAACTGAATAAGTTGATTTGTAGCATATATATCACATAGATCATAATACTCTGTTTGAACACTTTTTTATACTCAATCCGGATGTACGTTATATGTACTCCTCTAAGGTGTTTGGTTCAAGGAATGTCAGATTACAATGGGAATGTCCCATTGCGGGATATGTTAGATTGATGAGAATGTATTCAATTTATTCCCGTTTGTGTTTGGTCAACGTCACGGGATTGCGTCATAATTTATTTGGTTGAAAGACATCTTATATTGCAGATATGATGAATTACTTTTATGCCTTCAAGTATTTTCTCTTAATGCAACAAATCTATTACAACATACATCTAAAGTGATTAAAATTAAAGAAAAATAAAATATCTTAATAATAAATAAAAATCAAACCTAATTGAATTATTTTTTAGCAAAATATGTTTAATTGTAAAAAGTTGTAGATCCAATACAGAAATGAATAAAAACGTTATTCAAATAGTAATATAAATATATTTATTATCATCTCAAGAAAACTAAAATTTAAAAAATGATCAAATTATTCGTAAAACTTGTTTTCAAAATAAAGAAAAAATGACCAATATCGCTATTAAATTTTGAAATCCACTCATAAAAACTTAAATAATTATAACTCTTATAACATAAATACGTTAAAAAAAATTAAATGTTAAGGAACAAAATTATGCAAATGACAAGAATAAACATTCGAATATAATTAATACTTCCTCCGTTCCACAATTGTTGCAACATTGTGATTTTTACACTATTCACAGATCTTACTTTGACCATGATTTTCTACTAATATACATAATCAAATTATTACGTATAAAATGTTATTGAACTCTTATCAATGTGAATTTCCAAAATATCAACTTTTTATAATGTTTACTAATACATAATTAAATATAATTACAGTCAAAGTTGTGCATTGGCAAACGTGAAAGTCAAACTGTTGCAAGAATTATGGAACGGGGGATAGTACTCTGTTCGTCCCATCTAAAGGGATGTTACACAATTTACGATGTTCGACACACCATGAAACTAACCGATCCCTGTCAATAGTAAAATTATTTTTAGTAAATAAAATTTACATATTCAGAGACTAAATTAAAAGTTTTATAGTCACAAAAAATCAAATTTAATAATAGTTGAATGTATAAATATTTAAATGAAAAGAGATGATTAATTGAAGGCATTTTCGGAAGAAAGTTAGATCGCACCGGGAATGTGAGATAACCTAAGGCATGGATGTGTTTAGCATTACCCTCCATCTTACATTCTCGGAAATGTAACTTTCCTGATTTTTTTTCAAACCCGTGAATCAAACAATGATATCTAACATTCCGTCTATCACATTCCGGGTGAGATCAACCCAACTGAACGGGCCCTAAGTTATATGCTTATTAGGTGGCACATTGTATCACCCGAGAGGGATATGAATAAGGCTCTGTTTGCAAATGCTTCTTGGAAGCACTTTACAGCTTTTTTGTTAAAAAAAGCCAATACAGGTGTTTGCAAATGCTCATTTCAGCTTAAATTAAAGCTATTCTAAGCCAAAAGTTGAAAGCTCCCATTAGATGCTTTTATCTGCGTCTAGCTTTTATTAGATTACAGATTTCAATTAAACCTAAAATGCCCCTCCCACATCCGGTCATCCCTCTGCTGCACCATTTCAGAATATGCCGCAATCATCCAGCCCTCTTTCTTTTTCAAAACCATGGCCACTTCATCAAAGTTCTTCCAAATGACTTCTTTCACATAATCACATAATGATGTACGGGCTGATTTGTTGATAATTAGAATGTGTGTGTGTGTGGAAAGAGATCTAGCGACTGTTGAACCATGGACGATCCGGCCACTCGGAGAATCTGCCGGCGTTGCAGACTACGTTAATACAATGGCCACTGAAAAGAGGGAGGGAAACATCGCGGAAAAGACCCAATCGATTTTACTGTTGAACTTCTTCCTTGTGTTTATCTATAGGGACAATTACTTGCAGATCAGAAACTGTAAATCACTTCCCCTGCGAAGGCGAGACCAACAACGACAACGGGTTGTCTTCCGATCAACAGTGAGACCGATGCCCCAAAATAACCAAGGCTCTGACTTCCAATCCGATTCACAAGGATATTTTTGTCTTTTAATAATATGTTACCCTACAGATCACTTTTTTCCCAAACATTTCAACTTTTACCTTAACTAAAATCACTTCTATTCTCAAACACTACCACTTTTACTATAAAACACTTTTACAATAATCTCTTAGGAGGCGTTTGGTTCTTTGCATATTAAAACTTTACATGTAAAGTGATTGCATGTAAACCGTAGGGGTGTAATCATTTTACACGTAAAATAAAAACATATTGTTTGGTGAGGTATGCAATCCATTTTTAAAATGAATGCAAAGTAAACACATTGTGTGGAATTGGCGGCAATCCTTCCTAACTGGCAACTCCCCAATCCGTATAGGTTAAACCAGAGCTACTTTCTCTAATAACTCACCCACCACTCCACTAGTAGTTTATATATATACATATATATACATATACATATATATATATATATATATATATATATGTATATGTATATGACTTTTCATGTCGAGCCGGCCTGACTGGAACCGCCGTCCGGCCAAGGGGATTTCGGGCACTTCCCGGTGGAATTTTTTTGATGAAATTGTTTGAGCATGTTGTTCATGAAGTCTAGTTTATCCATACAAAACATCAGCTAAAAATTCAATCGGGAAGACACTCAAATAATTTCTTGAAGTTAACTGGGCAGTTTATATGTATGAACTGCCCAGTTAACTTCAAGAAATTATTTGAGTGTCTTCCCGATTGAATTTTTAGCTGAAATTTGGTATGGATAAAGTAGACTTCATGAAGAACATACTCAAAACATTTCATCAAAAAATTCCACCGGGAAGTACCCGAAATGCCCTCGGCCGGACGGAGCATCCCGCCAGGCCGGCCTGACATGAAGACTACTCTCTCTCTCTCTCTCTCTCTCTCTCTCTCTCTCTCTCTATATATATATATATATATATATATATTAAATATAATACTTCGTAATATATTCTCTACATACGACTAGGGCTGCATAAGAATAACCCGAACCCGCATAACCCGCCCGATCCAACCCTACCCAACCCTATTTAATCGGGTATTTGATTTTAAAAAATATTCATGAGTTAAATATGTTTGAACCCGCACCTAATGGGTAGGGTTGCAGAATTAAAATCTCAAACCCGATAGAACCCGACCCAATCGAAGTTCATATTACTATTATTATGCAAGTATGCAACATTGTTTTCTTGGATAATTTCAATTTTAAGGCCAATATGCTCTATCTAGGACTTTATGATATTAGAATTATAATTAAGCATTTACCAATTTGGCTAGGTGATTCTTATATATTTACGTTTCCTTCTAAATGAACTTCCTTTACGGAAGGATGTTTCAATACTATTATCTAATGTTTTTGCTTATAAAAGATACGAGTACTTGTATTTGTTTGTGTGTTTTGGACACAAGTTAATCGAGTTTTAAATTGGTTAAATTAATTTTCCACATGAAAGATGCAACCCGAATGATATTTTTTTCAATACCCGACCCTACCCGACCCATTCATGCATGGCCTACCAACTTATTTTGCGTACCGTGAGTTTGTTAATAGCCAACCCGAACAAATTGGGTAGGCCCAAAAAATATAGCAAACCCGACCCAACCCGCCCGATGTGCAGCCCTACATACGACTATACAAGAGTCAAGATAATTGAGAAGATGATTGATTGTCTTCACGATTCTCTTTTCTTATATACGAGAGTCGAGAGCCAACTAGTTTGGACTCCGTATATTTTATAATCCATATAGCAATGTAAAGTAGTTTACCACCCTCTTCAGGTAAAATATTTTACATGGTACAGTGTAAAATATTTTTTAAAAAATGTCATACAGTTTACATTAAATAATTAAAACAAACGGTGTAAAATATTTACTTCTCCACACTTCGCGTGCAAAGTGTTTCTTTCACATCATACCAAACAAGCCCTAAAATCATCACGAAAAAGCACAAGCAATTCCACACAAGCCTAAGGGAGTGTTTGCAATTGCTTCAACTTTAAAAAAGTGATTTTTTAAAGTGATTTTGGGAAAAGTGATTAATAATAAAAGTTGGTAGTGTTTGAGAAAAAAGTAATTCTGGAAAAGTAAAAGTTGGTAGTGTTTGGTAAAATAAGTACTTTTTGTGTAAAAGAAAAAGTGAGAAGCAGTTTAAAGCACCCTTCTACAGTTCTACCTGCTTCCAGCTTTTAGCTTTTAAGCGATTAATTTAAGCAGAAGCTGCTGTCATTTGAAAACACTTTTTTTCAGTTTTTTCGGTTTTATTCTTTTCAGGTTCGGTTTTATTCTTTTCCATGACATGAATACATGATACTGATGATAACATGCTTTGTCGTCGGATCCAATAGTGCATGACTTGCGAGGTTGTAAGTTGTAATGGCGGACCTGGCGGTTCGATCAGCATGGGCACAAAAGAATAATTCCATACGTTTTCCCCTGGCATTATATATTGATACAAAATAATGTTGAGTTAAAATACAATCCCAGGGATTAGGGTTTAGGGCTTTAGGCCAATGTTTATTTGATTATTTCTCTAGTGGCGGGTTGAAGCGGATATGGCAGAGGAGGATGTCATGGCTAAAGGAGAGCTTTCCAACTCATGTTGCACTTCTGTATGTATGTTTGTTTTGTTTTCTTAATTATTTTTGCCCTAGTATTATTCAACAGAACATGCAATTTATCGATTCGGGCATTTGCAGTGGAAGGAAAAGTACGCCAAGTTGAAAGAGAGGTATTCTAAGCTCGAAGAAGGCCGCATTGCCCTTCGCAAGGGGCTGTCAATCTATGAGCTGCAGGTTTCCAAGATGCAATCTGAGAATCTCACTTTGAAGAAGGGTATGTGACTCAGCTGAATTCATTTTTCAGTTTTCTAGCGTGTCCGAATAAAGTAATGAACCTGTCCAGTTTGTTCATGGTTTAATCCTTGATAGACATTCAAAAGGAGAAGTTTTTTTCACTGAAATATGGTGTTATATTCATGTGGAGTAATTCTTAAAACTTTATGCTCTTATCTTTAACTAATACTTATTCATCAGCTTCTTTTAATAGCTTTCTGTTTATTTCAGCTTATGAGAGCGAGAAAAAACAGGCAGAAAATGAAAGAAATGGCAGAGAAAAAGAATCTGCTCTGCGAGCTTCCTTGGAGAGTGAAGTGGATGCTCTAAAGACCAATGTTCTTTCGTTGCAGCAAAAGTCAGGTCCTGCTAGTGAAGATTGGGAAAGAGAAAAGGTACAACTTCAGGGGTTCCTTTCAGAAAAGGATGCAGAAGTTAGCCGACTGAAGGAGCTTCTTGAGAATGAGAGACTCAGAGCAGATTCAGAGAAAAAGAAAGCCGATGCAGAGAGGAAAAAAGCTGATGAGTTAAGGAAAAAGTTGAAAATTGAGAAAACGAAGGCCGATGAAGAGAGGAGGCTAGTTGAAAGTGACAGAAAAGAGGCTGAAGAAAATAGGCTGAAGCTGGAGGCTGCGATGAAGGATGTTGATGAAGTTAAAATGAAGTTGGCGTTGGAGACATCAAAAGCAGCAGAGATGAAGAAGAAATTGGACACAGATATGCAAAACAGAAAGACAGATAGAAAACGGGCAGACTCATCTATCTTGAAAGCTGCGGAGCAAACAAAGCTTGCTGATACAAACTTGAAGATGGCAATGGATGAAAAACGTCGTGCTGACGATTTGTCACAGCAGCTGGACCAGTATAACCAAAGAATTGAGATTCTAAAGAAGGAGATAGTTGAACTTAAGTCGTCTAGGATATTAATTGATAACGTATCTGATAAGAAGAGAGAAGCAGCAGAAAAACTTGCCCATCCAGAGATAGTAAAGCAGCTAGAAGATCAGAAAAAAGTTCTCGAGGCATACAAGAGAAAGGCATCAAAGGAAAAGCATCGTGCAGACCAGTTATCACGTGACGTAAAGGATTACAAGAAAAGGTTAGGAGAGCTACAAAAGGAAATCAATTCCCTTGTTTCCTCCAGATCAATTGCTGAATCTGCTCTTCATTCACATGATAGAAGTTTGAAATGTCAAACTGCTAAAATCAGTTTCTTGGAGAAGCAACTGAAGTTGGAAAAGATGTTGGTAAAGCACTCAAAAGGAGCCGCAGAGCTCGAAAAAGCTCGTAATGGCATACTAAAAGAAGAACTATTGCACTTAAAACAAGATATTTCTCAATTTTCAAAGCGCCTGAATTTATTGGATGATTATTTCATTTGCTCTGATGAAGCTATTCAAGATCTTGAAAAGGTTTGTTTTTTATGCACGCTGCTATGGAAAAGATGTTTTTCAATTTGAAATGATTATTTATGTCATTCCTCTTAGGTAGTAGGCTGTATTATTGTACTGTGTACTAAAGTTCCCATTGATGGCTATTTGAATTAGCAAATCATTAGACTAGTATTTTGCCTTTAAAAAAGATGCTATTGTTGGCTACCAAAAAAGACTAGTAAGTAAGCTGTTAGAAGTACTATCCATAGCTTGTTTTTTGTTGTGTTGAAAAGAGTTTGCAGTCATTTTAAAAAAATCTAATGGCCTTGTCTTGATGATTTTCTACTTTGCAGGAAAAACTGAAAAATCTACAATTCGGTATTGAATCATATCAGACGCGTTCTCATCTCAAAGATGGGATTGCTCTAATGGCTGCTGCTGATGAAACTGATTCATTCAGGGAAAATGTAGATGAAGGCATTGCACCTGTGCTTGCTATATCTGGAGTAAATGGCACTAGAAGTGTTTCAGGTATTAATTCTGAATTGGAGCCTTTGCTTAAAGGCGTTAACAAAAAAGTGTTACAGAGTTCTGCCATAAATTCCTGTTCGACATCTTTTTCTGATAGACCATTGGTCGGCTCACAGGAAAGACATTCTTTTGGCACCAGATCAGATAAATTTGCTGAAAACAAATCCGACCCAAAAGAGAAGTGCAATGAGAATCTTGCAACAATTGTGGAAAGTGGTGTCAAAAGTCCTGTTATTGATACATCTACCAAGAGGAGCAGTCGGCATCATAAGAAAAGGAAGAGGTCTATTGATGCTATTTGCAGTTTGCAGTCTAAGAATGAGCCGCAACAGAAACAGGTACTTTTTCTGCATTCTGTGTCAGAAAACCAAACTGATAAATCTGGAAGCACTAAAGCGTGCTTGCTTCCTCGTGTGGAAGACGGTATTGGCAGTTTTCATGATAGATCTCATAAGAAAAGAAAGGCTTCTTCTGAAAAACTTCGGAAGTGTCATGTGAATGATGCCGATAGGGTAAAGGCAAACCTCAAAGTGTTGGGTATGCAAGAGTGTAGTATACTTGCAAATTCCATCCCACCCGTTCATCATCGCAGTGGAACTGATGATAACGGAAAGGATAGGAGTGATACACTTGGAGATTTTGAGTTACTGGTTGGAGATGACTACATGAAACTGCTTGATTTGGATAATAGTGTAGATGAAGAATCTTATCGTTTGGCACTCCAAATGCCTTTGTCACCTGAACTTCCAGAGATCAAGTGTGAAAGCAATGCACGTGTATCAAGTAACTCTCATCTCTTATTAGATAATAATAATAATTCTCTCGGGGAACTTTCACATATGAAGGGGAGCCTTTCTCCACTGGAGCACTTTGATGTCCTTGATTTGGAAATCAACTCAAATAAGGCAACACATGGTACCATAGGGAATTCGAAAAAATCATTGTCACCAGAGATTAGTGATCATGCTAATACATCTAGCTACATAAATGGTAATGGAATTGACTGCCCTAAAATTTTGCAGGCGCATATATCTAATTCTATCAGTGAACCAATGAGTACAGTTGATGTATTAGCTTGTGCTAATGAGAGTTCAAAGGTTTCAAGTGGTAGCAGAGACCCACCCCCATGTCATGGTATACCAAAGTATTGTGTTGTGTTTTTTGATAATGACAAAGTGGAAAGCATTTCCGCAGTATACTCGGCAACCAAAAACTTCATGAATCAGTGTTCAACAGTTTCAGCATCAAATCTGTATCTCAGGAACATTGTCATTTTCATTTCAGGTGCTCAAGATCTTTCATCCAAGTAAGCCATTTACACTTCGTATCTTTCATCCATGCATCCATTACCCTTTTAAAAATTATTTTGTTTCTTTTCATTATCAAAGGTTCTGCTGTTATTGATGTGATATGCCTAGCTTGTGTATATTCTCTATAAAGTTGACCTTCTCTAGGTATAGTGGTAACCATCCATTCTCGATATGTTTATTTCATTATTCTCTGCAAGGAGTGCAAGGTTTGCATTGAAGTTGCGGGGTTTGAATGTCTTGGAAACTTAATACTTACCAAGTAAATTAATATCAGGGATATGTTTATAACTTTTTCTGTAGCACTCACAGGTGCACCTGGTTAATATTTTGTACATCTGATATAGATTGCGCCGGAATGATGGATTATGAGTCATATCTGTGTTCTGCTGGACGTCTCTCCTTTAGGTGCTTCTTATTAAATACTGGCAAAGTTATATGGAGTAAATAATTAGTTATGATGTTCTACATGAGTAAGCCATAATATTGTAACAGTTGTTTAATAGGAAGGCTGTTAAACGAAATTAAATTAAGAACATCCCACTAAATGCGGTCAAGTTAAAGATTAAGTAGGCATCAAGCGACACAATTTATTTAGGTTGAGCTCTATCTCCTCTGTAAGCTATTTTCAATGGAGCCAAAGATTCACTATTTTTTGGCTCGAGAATATGATGGAATAAAGCAAAATGACTTACTAAACTGTGTGCACTTCTTTGTTATGAAGCAGCAGTCAGTCCATGCAATTTTGGACGCGATTTTCACTATGGGTCATCCGGAAACAGTCTTTTTGTGCTTTAGTACAGGGGTAAGACTGCGTACATCCGACCCCCCCCCACTATAGGTGGGAGCCTTTGCGGCACTGCGGTAAATGATGATGATGAGTTCTATCTCCTCTGTAAGCTCCATACTGATTAGGTCACTTTTATTGGGTTCTTACCAAGTCATTTAGGTCTTCATATACTCCTCTCAAGTTGTGTTTTATGCCTTCAAAACATTTTAATTTGTGTGGCCTTCGGACTCAGAACACGACAAAACTATCCTAAGTGGCTCTTTCTTGTCACTACCTCCTATTGGGGTTTTCCCTACTTCCTCTCTTATCTTGTTGCCTCATTACTAATTCTGTCCTTCCTAGTTTAACACACTCTTATAATCATATCAACACTGTCATCTCTGCCTCCAAAATTTTGTGAACATATTGATATTTAACCACCCAACGGTCCTAGCCACTTTATATATAGAATTTCCCTTTTGTCATAACTATCATAAGTGTTACCTTCCGATTGCACAAGATTCACTATGCATTCCCTTACTTTGTGTTTCTTGCTTTTATTCTACGCTCAATGTCTGTATTATATTCTCCATCCAGTTGGACCTTACATAATTGTCATGGTGTATGGCAACAACCATGGTGTTAACTCAGTTTGCCTTGACGATGGACGGCCCATTTATGGACACAAAATAACAAGTATAGATTTGAACAATAGACAATATAGTTCTAAGATTGAAGCACCAAATGTGGGGACTTGATCATATATCTTTTCCAAGCCAATAAACACTATGGGTAATTCTTTCAATTTCTTCAATGGTCCTTGATTAGTGTCCTTAGTAAACGTATAGTTCATTTTCGATTTCCCAGGCATGAAGCCAAATTGCATGCCTGACATTCTTGTATTGTCAGTCTCCTTCCGCTTAATCTTTTTCAGAGTTTCCTAGTGTTGCACGACAGTTCAGTAACTGGTAAGTAGCACAATCTTGTTACTCCTCTTTTAATATATTGATGACAATAATGTACTGTGTTACATGCATCTGAGTCCTTACTCTTGAAATTACAATGAAAAGTCTTGTTATCTATTAGGTTTCTGGGATTGAGAATGGGTCCAAGGCCGTCTTGCTGTGGCAAGGTGCGAGGGTGAGGGCAGAACCTGCCGGCTAGGGTTACTCCTCTTCTTGCCCGTGGCTAGAAGAGGGCAGGGGAAACTGGGAAAGTCCGTGACTTTTCTCTGGAAATATTTCTAATGATCGATGATTTTATTCATGCTGAATAAAGAGTATAAATAGGCATCCTGCCTTTACATGATAAAGTTCTAATCTAACAGAAACTATAACATCTAATAATTATATTCCTAATAGGAGTTCTAATCTAACAGAAACTGTAACCTCTAATACTTCTATTCCAATTAGGAAGTAATAAATAAAATATAAAAATAGTATTAGGATAATTTCCTCTTCTAATTAAACTCTTCTAATTAAATTGTTCTAATTAAACTCTTCTAAAATGCATCCGTAACATCACTCCCTCCCTCGAAACTGAGCTTGTCCCCAAGCTCATATCCTGGATAAGCAGTGATAAAAGTGTCAAACGGCTCCCAAGTGGCCTTGTCTGGTGTGCTGCCTTGCCATTGAACTAATAGTTCCACTTATAGCGGTGGCAGGCAACTCCAAGTCTGGGAAGCCATCATCTTCTTCCTGCTCATCTTCTATCTCGATCAAGAAAAGCTTTTTGCATCGGTGATTCATTGTCCAATGTTCCTCACAATTATATCATAGCCATTTTGCTCGTCTTTCTGCCATTTCATCCTTCGTGAGTCGCTTAGCAATGGGATTTCCTGCCTTTGTTGTCACAAGCGCTTGTCTAAGCTGTGGCGGGCTGCGTTGTTTCATATATGTTGTCGTACCCGAGACTTTTACTGGTGCAAGTGTCGGTGTTTGCCTTGCTTCCAATGACCGTTCAAGGCTCATTGCGTAACCCAGGTTGCCTGGTTTTGCTATCTCCACATAAGCCCGTAAGTGGGGATGGAGACCGGCGACAAACAAAGCAATCTGATGGGTGGACTGTATTTGTGAAGTTCTTGCTAAGACCTTCTGAAATTGGGCACAATACTCATCAACTGATCCGATCTGCATCAGAAGTTTCAGATCTCCAATCGGGTTAGAACTCAAAGGGGGCCTAAAGCGCTCCAGGCAGAGTTCTTTAAACCTCTCCCGTGCTGTGTGATATCAGACTGTTATCAGCTGGCTCTTCCTGTGGTTCTGTTGATTTGGAACCCGTTTGTGGACTGCCAGATATAGAGCGGCAATCTGCCCTTCTATGGCGGTTACCCTAGTAGTCATAGCATCCATAAACTCCATCATAGTCGCTAAATCATCTTGCGGTGGCTCCATGGATCTTGATGGCTCTGATATCAAATTGTTAGGGTTCTGGGATTGAGAACGGGTCCAAGGTCGTCTTGCTGTGGCAGGGTGCGTGGGTGAGGGCAGAACCTGCCGGCTAGGGTTACTCCTCTTCTTGCCCGTGGCTGGAAGAGGGCAGGGGAAACTGGGAAAGTCCATGACTTTTCTCTGGAAATATTTCTAATGATCGATGATTTTATTCATGCTGAATAAAGAGTATAAATAGGCATCCTGCCTTTACATGATAAAGTTCTAATCTAACAGAAACTATAACATCTAATAATTATATTCCTAATAGGAGTTCTAATCTAACGGAAACTTTAACCTCTAATACTTCTATTCCTAATAGGAAGTAATAAATAAAATATAAAAATAGCATCAGGATAATTCCCTCTTCTGATTAAACTCTTCTAATTAAACTCTTCTAAAATGCATCCGTAACATTATCCATGTTATGTTCTCGTCACTCATGTATGTTCTTAACCTCTATAGTAGTTATATCATATAAATGGTTATTTATATAAGTTTTTTTCATTTACTCCAATCTTCATAAATCATCAGTCCATGCAATTTTCGACGCGTTTTTCATCATGAGTCATCCGGAAATAGTCTCTTTGTGCTTTAGCACAGGGGTAAGACTGCGTACATCTGACCCCCCTTACCCCACCATCGTAGGTGGGAGCCTTTGCGGCACTGGGGTAATGTTGCTGTTGTTGTTCGACTGAAATCTTCATAAATCAAGTTACTTGGTTACCTCTTGGACTTCATTAAAAATAAGTTGAATCCTCACTGGTGCGCTAGATGAATATTCTTTTGATACTACCTTTTATCCTCCTAGTGAGTATGTGGTGCTTTTGGTAGAACTGCCATGATGTGTGAATCAAGTTAAACTATTGTCTCATCGTCCTCGCTGATTTTTCACTTTAGCCTGAATGCCATTGCCTATTGTCCTACTGAGGATTCAAAGGTTGTTCTATCTATCTATCTATCTATCTATCTATATTATCCTTGTTTAAGATTGAGTGTTTGGTGCTTTGATCCAATTATTTTAAATATAGACATGTAGAAACAAACTGCTAATATTTCCTCGTTTTACTGATCCTGTCAGGGAAAAAGCATCAGTGTTTTTGTCAGTCTTGCTGCACTACATTTCAGAAATGGAAACAAGTGATCTCTGCAATGGTTGGGATAGAGCCTCGGTCCTGCGTATTGCATCTTTTGCTCATCACATATGTACAGGTTCTTGTCATATAGTTCCTTCATGTGATAGTGTAGTGTTTGCTATCTGCATATTTTCCATTTTTCATGTTGATCAATTTGTAATGACTACGTTACATCTATATGCAGTGCCCTCTGACGTGAACAATGGTATGACTTTTGATGAATCATGGAATTTGTATGAGCTGCTTTCACTTTTAGAAGACTTCATCTTGCATAGAGAAGTTCTGATGTTTGATAATGTCTGTTCTGATTCGAAATCTTCAAAGGATTCTAGGATCAACCTTGTTCTGAATGCTAATGGTGTACGCTTCGTTAGTCAAGAAGCTTCCATAAACTTGTCAGTGGCTGGATGCATTTTGTTAGCTTCATTATGTGCTGAAGTTGACCACATTGGTTTCATTTGTGAAGCATCATTCAACACTCTGAGGATGTTAAAATCAGACCCTTCATTCGTGCTAACTGCTCTCCATATCTTTGCCTATGTATGTGGGCACAAGTATTTTGGCATCAAACAGTATTGCTTTGTAATGGCTGTAGTAAGATCCCTGGTTATGTTCCTTGAGAAGCTTAACCCTCCTGACTGTAGTTCCTGCTTTACATCTTTGGCTGAGGATCTGTCTAAATTATGGTCAGGCAGCAATTGCCCATTTTCAGAAGGCACATCTTCTATGGATGGCGGCTCATCTTCTATGGATGGCGTCACATCAATGCTCCTAGATAAACTTCAGAACTGTATCTGGTCCAGTACAAGGCAAAAGGTTAAAGTTATCCACCCTTCAATCGATGGAGAAAAGAATGATACAGAGAATATGGACATTTCTGCTGCTCCAAGAATGGCGGACACGCCATACTCTGTTACTGATGATGGCAATGGGTGCTTCTTGACTGATGTCCTTGCATTAGTTGAACTTGTATCTTGCTACATGGTATGCTTCTTAAACCCATCACTCTGATTTTTTGCATTGTTGTTGCAATATGAATCCTTTTACACTTCAATATAGTATTGTCTTTTGGAGACGATTCTAGTTGGTGAATACAAAGCACTTCAATTTTCCAAAGAGTGTAGATAGTCAATTTTGTCCACTTGACATGTGTGGTTGGGGTTTTGTTGGCTGTGTAAATGATGGGCGATGAGAATTCCACTTGTTCTTGGCTCAGATGAGGGTGGGTAAAAAAATCCACCCTTTAAGTGTATTGGATGAGAATTCCAATATGTTAATTTTATGTATAAAAAGTACATTTGTAATTAATAATCTGCTACCTCTTCAGATTTGCCGCATTGCTTTGTCTCACTCTGATTTCATTCAAAAAACAATCACCTTGATTCCTAGTTTATGTAATGGAACTACTCACATGTTTCCTGCAGAGCTGGGATTGGACTGTTGAAAATATTGTGCGCCCTGTGTCAAAAATGATGGAATCATGCCCATTGGAGCATGTACCTGCAGCTATTCTGGTTCTTCTTGCCCAACTTGGAAGGTATTTCAAAGAATTTGAGGATATTCTCTATTTAACATGCTTTTATCTCATTGTTGTTCTTGGCTAGACAGTGGAATTGAACATCTTTTTGGGTGCTTTACATTTTTTTGCGGTACAGCATTTTTTCAATTTTAAGTATTGTAAGATTGGCCATTCACACACAGATTGTCAAAGACCCTTAATGACCATGAATTTCGTACATCCCAGATTCCCCCACAAAGTATCTCTCTTCCCTATCCTGTTTCCATGATAAGCATTAGTTTGATGTTTTTTTTTCCTGTAATGCATTATGCATGGGAAAATGATATTTCTGCTAACTTGTGTTTGATCTTCTGTAATTGTCATGCTTTCTGTGGGAGCATGTTTCTATTCTGTTTGGCATATCATGTGAATATTAATTTATATATTTTCAAACACTCTACAGGTATGGGGTTTCAGCTAATGGATATGAAGATATTACAATCCAGAACTTGAGAGATCGGTTATCAGCTTTGCTCTGTGGGTGTGATTCTAAAACAGTCAGTCATGAGATTCAGTTTTCCATTGCCATTGCTTTACTGGGCGTAGTTCCTCTCAACTTTGCAGAGATTGTGGAAAGAAATGCTGAAATTTCTGGATTTGAAAGTCAGTATCAAGCTACCATTTGCTTAAGGAAATGGTTTTCACTGTTGAGCTATGAAGAGCAGTTGTCTTTTAAGCATGTGGTTTCCTCAAGTGAATGTCTCCAAAATGTACACATTCCTCTTGTAAAATGATTATTGTATAGGAAGGAGAGGGGGTGTATTGGACTCGTGTTTGTTTTTCTTAGTGCTTCTGTAATAGACAGATATCCAAGTTTCCATGCACATGGCGTCAAAGTAGGGTTTTTTTAATCAACCTGCTTTGGTTAGCCCAACATGTGCTTTCTGCCTTGAACTTTGATTAGATATTCAAAGGTACCTTTGCATGCAGCTTTAGAATTGGAGACTGCTTTGTTCACTTCTGATATAGTCAGTCAACTGGATCAATCTGACCTTTTGTGGTATCTTATCATTCTTATGTGTACCCCAAAATCGCAGCCTGTGCTGTCGGCTGGTTCTCAGGTCAAGGTCCCCCTGATGTAACGTTATAAAGGCAGGCCCTTGGAGAGGAGAAGATAGGTAAGGCCTCATGAACTCGTAGAGTATATGGTTTGATTCACGCTTATGGAATCTTATATCGCTCTGTATTGATTCTCATATCAGTAGGTACTGTATGCTGCATATGTTTATTTTCCTGTATGAAGAAAATGCTATTCCATCAGAGATTTCTTTCATTTTCCCTCCAAAGGGATCCATTATCCTGAAAGTCGTTGCATATGCACTAGGCTCTGTCTAATTCTACCTAGGTCCTGCATAACCCTGATTATGCCCCACCAGTCGATACCACTTGTACAACATTGCTTCCAGATCCCAGACTATTTTGCCGAAGATTAGCAAGACCAAGGATTATATAATAATTGAAGAGAAATGGTTGGTCTTGACTAGTCCTGGACTCGGGCCAGTTCGGGCCCGGGCCCGGCCGGGCCTCGGTTCGGAAATGTAAGGCCCGGGCCCGGCCCGCCTGTAAGCGGGTGCCGGTTCGGGCCGGGTGACCCGGCCGGGCCCCGGGTCGGGTGAACCGGCGGGTCGGGTCGGGCCTTGAATTTTTTTTTTTTTTTTTACTTATAGTCTTATACATCTACTTGGAATCTTGGATATTAAAATTATTTAAAAACAATCTTGAAGTACATTTATGTGAAATAAGTAATAAGTACATTTTGAGAATTGAGAACAATTAATTCTAATACATTTTGTATTAAGTAATAATAATATAATATAATTAAAAAATGCGACATATAAAAAAATTTAACTTTTATTGATTTGAAATATGAACTACAAATCTACAAGTTCACAAATTACAATAGAGAATTGAGGATAAAATAATAAAATGTAAAATACTAATCAATCGGAATCCCCGGCATAGGTAGAACCACCATCGGTTGATTCATCCATAAAGTCTTGGGAGGGGATGAGCCTAAGTTCTTGAGTTCTACGTCTTGCCTTCAACCAATCGTGGTAGTATACAAGCGTCTCAAGAGATTCGGCACTCAAACACGTTCTCGATTTAGTTAGGACGTTGCCGGCCGAACTAAATTCTTGTTCCACGGCAACTGTTGAAACCGGCATTGATAGTACTTGCTTAGCCATCCGTGCCAAAATCGGGAACGTTCTTTCTTTTGACTTCCACCACTTTAGGATGTCAAAATCTTCATTTTCTACAAACTCAACCTCATAGTTAATATACAAAGCAATCTCATTAATTGTGCTTTGTTCAGTAGTGTGCGTTGTTTTAGCTTTTTTCATAAGATTGCCAAATGCAGATTTAAAAAAAAAAAATTTCCTTTAGATGAAGATGTTTGGGTTGGGGGAGGGGGCATGTTGCCATATTGTGCACGAAACTCATTAAATAAAGAATAAAATAAACTACTAACCTCGTTGTATTCAGATTGCGGATCTATAGGGTTATCTTCATACATTGGAAAATCACCATAAAAAGATTGATAATAGAACTTGTAACATTGTTCCAAATTACCAAGTCGATAACGAGGATCGAGAATAAATGCAATACCATAAATATGTGGAATATGTGCATAATATTTTAAAAACTTTTCCTTCATAAAAGTACAAAAATAGCTCACATAATCGGCATTTTGAAATTCATTAAAAGCACCGGCGAGATTAACAAGTTCACGCATAAATTCGTTTGAAGTAGGTTTATAAACATGACTAAAACTTTCAGTTGCATTATTAAAAAATATCAAAACATTACTCCCTCCGTAACATTTATATCTTCCCACTTTCCTTTTTTTAGATGTAACATTCATATCTTCCCATTTCATAATCTTCCAATCAAACCCTCAATAATTTTAAAAATAATACACTATTACACCTACTTTTTTTGGATTTATCCTTCATTCCAACACATTATTTCACTATCTTCCTATCATACCCTCAATAATTTATATCTCATTTCACTATTCTTAATCTACCTACTTTTCAAATGGGAACATATATATGTTACGGAGGGAGTACAAATTTTTTCGCAAGTGTCGATGTGAGCGGAGTTTAAAATGTAGTTATCATATTCTTTTAAAAAAGCAGGAAAATGTTCTTTATATCTAATAAGAACTCTAATTAATTTATAAGAACTATTCCACCGAATAGACAAATCTTTAGGAAAAGCAACATATTTCACATTTCTTTCATTCAAATAATTTTTCCATTTTAATTTAAGTTGACCATTAGCCCAAATAGTCGAATCCCCCCCTTCGCTACCTCCATAGCATCTCCCAACGCTTTTAGACCATCCTGCACACATAAATTTATTATATGGCATGCACATCGTTGATGAAAAAATCTACCCATCAAAGTAGTAGAACCACACAATTCACGCAATCTAAGTATAGCAGCAGTATTATTAGTAGCATTATCAAAACCTATAGCAAACACCTTATGAACCAAATTATACTCAATTAAAATACGCTCAATCAAAATATAAATACGCTCAATTATAAAAGACTCTTGACTCTTGAACTCTTGATAGACATGACCCCCTCCCATTCACTTGTCACCCCGACTTATATGCTATGCTTTCTGCTGCAAAGAATGCTGCCTGAAGGAAGACTCAGGTGGTGCAGATACATTCTGCTGCAAGAGTGATGAATATAAAGAGGGGCGGTTCACTAGTGAAGAACACTTGAGTAGGTGTTTAAGTAGGACTCCTATGCACTTTTAAGAAAGTTCTATCGATCTTGTAATTTAGACATGACTCATTGTTGTATACTTCGTATTACTTTTGCATGCATGGTTCAAACACAGAAATAAAGATGTCATTATGCCTTTTCCATGAGTTTTATTTTTTATTTGGGAAAACTGTCAAATAGGTTCCCGTACTATATCAAAAAAGTCAATTGAGTCCTCCTACTGTTAAATCACTCAATTAAATCCCCCAACTATCAAAAAACATTCAATTTGGCATTTCAACCGGGAATCAACCGATAAAGAGGTTAGGCCGATCCACGTGGGCATATTTTACATTTTACATTTATTTTACTTTCTTCTTTTCTTTCCCGTTCTCTGCCGTCAGGCTCTGGCCCCCTTCCGCCCAAGCCCCAACCAGCAACATTGTTTCTTTTTCTTCAATCCACGCCATCCAAACCAGAGAAGCTAGCCATTCCTCATATCAGAACTTCAATTCAGTGAGTGCAGAAGAGGGCGAGGGCTGTAAAGGACGGCGTGGAGGCAGGGGCTTCTGTGATGTCACCGGAAAACCTAGGTATGGATGCTGCGAAATCGTCAGAGATCTCGAACCTTCTCCCACCGAAGGTTGTTGAAGTTTTCCATCAAGTTTGTCCAGTTGGTTTACACATACATAGTAAATTAGTAATTAAATACTACCTCCATCTTTCTTCTTCAGCCAAGAAACCAACTGGACACATGACCCCTCTTTCCCTCATTTCTTCTGCAAACCCACCCACCCAATGTCCTCTTCTGTACTCACTGAAATTCCTAATATGAGGAATGACAAGCTTCTCTTGATTGGATAGGGTGGATTGAAGAAAAAGAAAAGATGTTGCAGGCTTGGGGCTTTGGCGGAAGAAGACGTACAGCCAGAGCCAACGGAAGAGAAGGTGGAAAGAAAGAAAAAAAAAATGAAAAAATGTACTGTACTACACGTAGTAAAATACTAAAATCTGGCACGTGGATCGGCCACATGGGTATGTTAACCCCTTTACTGGTTGTTTCCGGTTGAAATATCAAATTGACTTTTTTTATAGTTGGAAGATTTAATTGAATGATACGAAGTACAATAGTACAAGGACCTAATTGACTTTTTTGATATAGTACGAGGACCTATTTGACAGTTTTTCCTTTTTATTTTTAGAGAATTGACACTAAAGTTATCAAAAGTTTCGAAGAGTAAGGATGTTTTTACTTGGACTGTAATTTGCTGGTCTGGTCTGGTCTGGTCTGATCTGGTCTGGTCTGAACTGGTCTGGTCTGGTCTGGTAAGGTCTGGTTTCTTTGTATTTTTATAACTATCCAAGTCTGGTCTAGTCTGGTCTGGTCTGAACTGGTCTGGTCTGGTCTGGTCTGGTCTGGTTTGGTCTGGTCTGGGGCAAATTACAGTCCAAGTAAAAACATCCTAAATATCAAGCCCTTAGGCTTGATAAAGAATGGAAGTTTGCATGTGCTGCACGTTTGAAAATATATCATTTAGGTCATCACTAATGTCTCTCAGTTAACAATGCCAACTAATAATATAATGCTATGTCTCCTACTCTCCTGGACTATATCCTAGATTTAATTGGAGACGATTAAGGCTAGCCTGGTGGCTATTTTTCTTGACTGGTGGCAATTTCTTCTTGAATTGTCACCGATTGTGTCAAAATGGTGTGGAGCAAATGGAGTTGGACACGAAATACGAAGAGGTCGGTAAATGAACCGTAAACGGATTTGAAGGCGGGTAGGGTGTAGGGGTGGGTGGGAGGTACATGGGGTTGATAAGTGTAGTTAGTCATGGACTCGGTTCGGGCCACCCGGCCTGGGAACTGGCCCGACCTGCTACTATGCGGGCCCGGCCCGGTGCTTCGGGCCCGAAACCGGTCTCTGACCCGGTTATAAGGGAATAGCGGGGCGGGCTTGGGCTGCAGAAAAGGGGACCCGCCCCTGCCGGGCCCGGTTCGAGCCAACGGCTATATTTTTAATTTTTTTAACAAACCAAACAGCCCCCCTAGCCGTTCGGTAACGGCTCCCAAAAAATTATAAATACTCCCATTTTTATATATTTTTCTACACCTCTTCTCCAACTCTTCCAAGTCTCTACTCTCTAATATTCTTTTTTTTTTTATCATCAAACAGGCCTCTATTCATATCAAAAGATTCAGGATCATTACATCAAGCAAAAGGAAAATAAAACTGACACCAACTGAAACTTCAACAACTACGACTGTAACCCTATGGTGAGACTTTGAGACGGTCACCCCTGAGAGAGCAACACGAATCGCTAACCATGTAGTGAGCTTGACACAGCCAAACCTATTCTCATAGATCCAACCATACCCAATGACATAAAGAGAGGCAAAAACTCAAACAAACTGTCAAAACCAACAACAAAAGTGGACACAAGAAAACAAATAACAACCAGATAAAAACTACAAGAAAAGCGTTCACGAACTCTAGCACCTCGTACATCCCATGGTGGTGGTTCAGGAGGAGGTCTTACCACCGGTACCATGCTAATTGATACTCCGTGACCTTTGTCTGCCAAAGGCCATGC